TAAAATTTTTTTTTAATTTTTTTTTAATTTTTTTTTAATTTTTTTTTAATTTTTTTTTAATTTTTTTTTAATTTTTTTTTAATTTTTTTTTAATTTTTTTTTAATTTTTTTTTAATTTTTTTTTAATTTTTTTTTAATTTTTTTTTAATTTTTTTTTAATTTTTTTTTAATTTTTTTTTAATTTTTTTTTAATTTTTTTTTAATTTTTTTTTAATTTTTTTTGGGAATTTTTTTGGGGGGTTCCCCCCATCCTTAGGGCGTCAATAAAGGGTTAAACCCAAAGGGTTTTGATGCCGATTTTGGGGTGAAAAAGGACAAAAAAAAAAAGAGCCAAAAATGTCAAATGTGCTTTTATTAAACCCATATAAAAACAACCCCGAGCCCCACCCCCCAAATTTAAAAAAAAAACTAAAAAAATCCCCCCCAAAAAACCCCAAATTCCCCCCAAAATCCCTCCCGGGACCCCCCAAAACCAGTGGGGGAGGGGGGGAGTGATTATCGCTGCAGGGGGGGGGACCCCAAAAACGGAGGGGTCCCCCGAAATTGGGGTGGGGGGGATGAGAAATTTGGGGGTTCCCCCCCCTTTCTTGGGGTTTTTGGGGGGGTTTCCCCGAGTTTTGGGGTCATTTTTTTTGGGGGGTGTTGAGTTTTTGCATCCCCCGAATCTTCTCCAGGAGATCCCCCACGAACGCCTGGGGGGGGGAAAGGGGGGGTCAGGGGAACCCCAAAATCCGTTTGGGGGTCCCTGGAATTCCTCCCGAAAAATGCCCCCAAAATCCTGGGGGATTCAACCCCAAATTCCCTCAAAATCACCCCAAAAATTCCTACAAAATCCCTGAAAAATCCCCCCAAACCCCCCCTAAAATCCCAGAAAATTCCCCCCAAAATCCTGGGGGATCCAACCCCAAATTCCCCCAAAATCCCTGAAAATCACCCCAAAAATTCCCCCAAATTCCCTGAAAATCACCCCAAAAATTCCCCCAAATTCCCTGAAAATCCCCCCAAAAATTCCCCCAAATTCCCTGAAAATCCCCCCAAAAATTCCCCCAAATTC